TTACCAAGCGGTTGAGAGTGGTGGAGGAATAATTGGAACTGTCCCTTGTAGTGGGAAGAGACGGTTATTCTATCTTAGGATTAAAGTAGGAAAAAATACATCACACGCACGCACAAGAAGATAAACTCGCATATTTCTCTATTTTCTTTTCGTAGTTTTTAGTTTCCATTTATGCATTTTAATTCGAATTACTTGTCTTTATGTTTTTAGCATATTTTTATCCACTTTCCAGTAGATTTATCCTAGTTTTAGTAGATATTAGTTTAAATCCATCGAAATTGATCGTTTAGGCTCGAAGCCTTGTTTAACATCAACGCCGTGCAGGCTCCATCGCAGGAGCCGCCTCTAATCCGACGACGGACAGGCTCTTTGGAGTTCTTCTGGAACCTACACCGACAAATCGACGAACTATTTTGGAACTTCCGAATTTTAGGATCCAACAAGATGAAAGGAGTATTATAGTCCCAACTCTGAATTTATAGGCAAACGTAACAAATAGGGGTGTCAATTTGTGTTTTTGGGTCGTATTCGTGTCGGGTTGAGCCATGGGAGTAACAAAAAATTGTCAACTCAAACCCGACCCGAACAGGACATGAATTCTTTCAGGTCGGGTTCAGGTTGACCTGAATTAGTTTCAGGTCACCCGAAACCCGAACAAACCCGACTCTAATAATATATTTTGGTATTTTAGTATTAGTGTATGATTACTTTTACTAAAATAATAATAGAAAAAAAAAAGTTTAAATGAGCCAAACAAAAATAATAAAAAAGATATTATGAATTGATACGAAAAGAAATACTATTTTTTAATATTTTTCTATTATAAAAGATAATAAGTATAGAAAAATTCAAAAAAAGCCATACATATTAAAACTTCTGTTAAAAAGTTCTGAATATATTTCTACGAGATGAAAGGAGTATTATAGTCCCAACTCTGAATTTATAGCTAAACGTAACAAATAGGAGTTTCAATTCGTATTTTTGGGTCGTGTGCATATTAAATTTTTTACAAATACGATCCGAACACGATACGATTTTTTTTTTTTTTTCATTTCGGATTCGGATCGATCCGAGTTTTTGCAAACCCAAAATACTCGAACCTAAACCTAAAAAATTTCGGATCGAACGAGAGTTTAATTTTGATAGCCCTGCTAACAAAAACATATATTGACATAAGTGCAGTAGCCGTTCTAATTTGTCCAATCAATTAGTATATTGTTATTGGTATACAAATATATATTATATAACGAAACCAACTTATCTTATTTATTCCATTTCAACGCCCGCCAAGTGTGAATAAAATAGCGAAATTGCCGCATAAAATATCACATTTGTTGGAATGACTTCACAGAAATAGGGACAGAAAGCATTGACCTATTGGAAAATTCTATGGTCGCAGTTTCTATATGGACAGATTTTTATGGACGCGAATTTTTTAGGGATCGCAATGAGTTTGGATATATTAATTATATATATATATATATATGAGAAAAAAAAAATTAATCATATAAATTTTATTAAAAATAAGTTTTTAGTTTTATTTAATATTTTTGAATAAAAATATAAATTTTAATATATATCTGGTTTGGATCCGGGTCCGGGTTTAAATATAATTTTGAGTTAAATTTTAAGAATTCTAATCAAATTTTCGGGTTCATCGAATCTTGTCGGATGTTGTTCGTGTCAGGTCCGAGTATGATGGGGTCTCGGTATAATCGAGTATAATTCGAATCTCGGGTCCAACAAGGAGAATTCGAGTTGAGTCTAGGGTCCGGATGGACCCGATCCATTATCATCTTTAGATTTTTCAATGATTTACTAGTGTTTAGAAAAGACAAAGATTAGAATTAAAAATAAAAATTTTTGATATAAAAATTTAAATAAATATAATACTAGTATTAATTAATATTTAAATATTTAAATATATTTTAGTTTGATAGTTTTAAAGAATAAATAACAAATAATATGAAAGATTATTTGCTTGATTTTGGTGTTGTCTTTTGAATATAATAATAATAAGAAATTATTAAAAAAAAAAAAAAAATTAGTAGAGTAAATAATAATCCTTAGTTACTCCCTACCATATTTTTTATTTTACCTATCTTAAAACACTTTATATATTTCTATTTATTGTCAAATATATTACTACTATTTTACATTAGAATCAAAAAATATAAAAAAAGTTTAATTTATTTCATAATATATTACACTGTCTGTTAGGGTGTGCATCGAAAATGAAACTGGTAATTCGGATATTTGAATTTGATTTTTTCGGAATTTTATTTTAATTCTTTTTTGACCAAATTCAATTTCAAATTCATATTTTCCAATTTCACTTTCTCAATTCGAAATTAATTTGAATTCGGTATTTATCGAATTAATCGAATTCAATATAAACATAATAAATTTGAATTACGATGATTTAAATTATTAATTTATTTAAAATATTATACTAATATTATTCAATATAAATAAAATAAATAATATAAAATTATAAATTTTTTTTTTACGTTTGGTGAATTAGTGTTATATAAAGTAATTTTTTTGAAAAATAAAATATATGAATATATAATATTAAATAAAATAATTATTTGAATTCAAAATCGGTAAAACCCAATTCAAAAATTGTAAAAAAAAATTCAAATTAATTTAAAAAATAATAAATTTTGCATATCAGACTATTGTCCGAATTATCAAAAACTGAATTCGAATTTAATTCGAATTCAGTCGGTAAATGAAAAATCAGTAATTTTTCACACTCCTATGAATCATTCAAAATCTTTTATTTATACTTCTCTTCTCAATAAATATATATTTAAAATTCTTTATTTTTTAAAAACTAATTTTTGTAATTAGAAATATATATATATTCGGCAATTCAAGTTTTTTTTTTTTTTTCAGTTTTAGGTGAATTAAAATAAATATATAGTACATATATTTTTTCATCAATTTAAAAAATTAGTATAAATAAATTATACATATATATGATTAAATTAAGTTATATTTGGTTGGAAGTAGGTTTTTACTATTCGTACTAATTTTTCTATTTAAAATATTAAATCAAATTAAGGAAAAAAATCAATTTTGGTTCCAATATAATCAAAATTTATCAATTTTGGTCCAAATATAAAAAACTCATCAATTTTAGTCCCAATATAAACAATTTCAATCAATTTTGGTCCCATTATAAACAATTTCAATCAATTTTGGTCCCACTGTTAAAAAAAACTATCGGAAATTGTTGACGTGGACATAACGGAGCTGACGTGGCAGTTGACCTGAAAAGTACACGACCATGTACAATTATACACGGCTATATTGTTACAGGACCATGTATATTTCAGTGTATAATTATACATGACCATATTGTTACACGGCCATGTATCTTTCTGTTTCGGTCTAAAATTTTATTTTTTTGTTATTTTTTTGTTATTTTTTTATTTTTGAATTTAAAATAGTTTATATAGTTAAAATAGAAAAAAAAATCAATAATAATCATAATATAATTAAAATATATAATTTTAGTTCAAATATAAATATTTATCGAATATGGTCTTTTGGAATATTTTATCTAAAATTCACTATTTAGCAAAACAATTTCTCTTACAAACATCTAATTATTGTATTGAAATAATAAATTAATTTTTAATACTACTATAATATACAAAATTACAAAATAGTTGTGAAATTTCTTTTACAAGCATTCAATTATTGTATTGAAATAATAAATTAATTTTTAATACTACTATAATATACAAAATTAAAAAAATAGTTGTGCAATTGGATGTTTGTAAGAGAAATTTTTTTGCTAAATAGTAGAATTTTACACAAAATTTTCCAAAAGAACATATTCGATAAATATTTATATTTGAACTAAAATTAATATATTTTTATTAATTATTGATTTTTTTCCATTTGAACTATATCAACTATTCTAAATTCAAAAAAAAAATTAAAAAAATAGTTGTGCAATTGGATGTTTGTAAGAGAAATTTTTTTGCTAAATAGTAGAATTTTACACAAAATCTTCCAAAATAACATATTCGATAAATATTTATATTTGAACTAAAATTAATATATTTTAATATTATTATTATTATTATTATTATTATTGATTTTTTTCCATTTGAACTATATCAACTATTCTAAATTCAAAAAAAAATTAAAAATACAACAAAAAAATAAAATTTTAGACTGAAACAGAAAGATACACGGCCGTGTAGAATTATACATGGCCGTGTAACAACATGGTCATGTATAATTATACACTGAAATATACATGGTCCTGTAACAACATGGCTGTGTATAATTGTACATGGCCGTGTACTTTCCAGGTCAACTGCCACGTCAACTCCGTTACGTCCACGTCAGCAATTTCTGTTAGTTTTTTTTTAACGGTGTGATCAAAATTGATTGAAATTGTTTATAATGCGACTAAAATTGATTGAAATTGTTTATATTGGAACTAAAATTGATGAATTTTTTATATTGGACCAAAATTGCTAAATTTTGGTTATATTGGGAGCAAATTTAATTTTTTTCCCTCAAATTAATGTTGAATAATATAATTTAATAATTAGGAGTGAATTTACAATTAAACATTAATTTTGAATAAATAAGATATTTTATTTATATTTAGTTTAACTTTACACAATAATAAAATACTAAGTATTATGTGCATTTTTACTATAAAAATAAAATAAAATTATATAATTTAACTTATTATATTCAGACGTAAAATTTTGAATATTAGTATTATATTGATTTACAGTGAAAATGACAAAATAAATATTTTTGTAATATATTAAAAATTATAAATATATTACTTATATTAGATAGATAATACAATTATTAATTTAATAAATAATAATATTTTTTTTTTTTACGATAAAAATAAAAAATGCTATTTTTTTGTTAAATCATATATGAACTGACGAAACCCTGTTCTGTCTTCCAATAAATCAATGAATTAATTAATGCGTTTTGGCGTTTCTCATAACCACTCCTCCAATCCCTTCCTCAAAATTCCACAATCAGTTTCAACTCTTATTACTGTAAGAAATTAAAATCAAGAGAGAGAGAGAGAGAGAGAGAGAGAGAGAGAGAGAGAGAGAGTTAGTTGCGATGGAGAATTTCTTGGGTTTGCTGAGGATTAATGTAGTGAGAGGAATGAATCTTGCAAAGAGGGATACCAACAGCAGTGATCCTTACGTCACCATCACCATGGCCAAACAGGTCGATCACCTCTCCCATTCATCGATACTGATTTCATTTACTATATATCTTCTGTGTCTCTCATCTTCAATTTTGATTATAACTTGCCTTCGATCTGATCACTTTATTTTATATATATGGTTGATGATACATAGATACGTACCTACTGTAGATATCTAGGGTTTGTTCATCTTATTTATTTGAAGAAGAAGAAGAAGAAGAAGGTGGTTTTGGAGTGAGTTCTCCAAGCCCATTGGACTTCCTAGTCCAGATCGATCTAAACCCTTTATCCAAGGGTGCGGATAAATCTGGCCTTGGGATCCATGGAGCTTCTATATTCTGTCTGAGCCTTGGGCACTTTTGTTTATTGGTCCTTTGACTTTGTAGTTATTCACTATTTGCAGACTGTTAAAAACGTTGACCGGTGTGTTTCTTTCATTTGATTTGAAAGATTATAGTTTGAGTTTTTCTATTAAAACAATATTTTGTGAAAATAAATTATATTTTTTCAAAAAATACGACATTTAAATAATAAAATTTAAAAAAATTTAAACAAAAGGGATTAGTTTAAAAATTATATTTTGTGTTTTTGATTTTATAATGGATTTATTATTATAAAAGGGATTAGTTTAACCTTTTCTTGCAAAAAAAAACACAAGTTAAGGCCTCTTTGTAAGATATGAGATTTGTTAATTTTCAAAATATTTGAAATATTAATAATTGAAGAAAAGTAAGTATTTAGTGTGATATAAATAAGCATCAAATATGATATTTTAAATAAAAATATATATTTGATGTGAGAAAAAAAAAATTAAATAAAATTGCAAATTCGTACATGTGGATGAAAGTATTATCGAAAGGAAGCCCTGAAGTTGTGAAAATTAATTCCCAAGTGTTAATTGGATCAGAAATTGAAAAGTCGTGTGGTGAAGAAAAATGTGAATCCAGAGTGGAATGACGAACTTACCCTCTCTATTGAGGATCCAAATCTCCCTATCCAACTCGTAAGTCCTCTTTCTCCCACTCTTTAATATTTTGACGCTAAATGCGGTGTAAATTTTGTTGTTCTTTTATAAAATATTATATTAAATTATTGATTAGATCCAAAATATATATATAGGGAAAAAATTATTTTTGGTTTTAATATAATCAAAATTTTTTAATTTTGGTCCCAATATAAAAATGCTTTCAATTTTGGTCTCAATATAATCAAAATTCATTATTTATGTCAAAATATAATAAAAATTCATCATTTTTTGTCCCAATATAATTTTTTTTTTTAATCAATTTTAGTCTCAATATAATAAAAACTCATCATTTTTTGGTCAAAATATAATCAAACGTTATCTTTTTTTGTTCCACCGGTTTGTTAAAAAGAAATCAAATCTTATATTTATATTTGAAGAAATTGCACAATCTTGCAAGTCTATGCCAGCATTTTTCGTCGATTTGTTGACGGTGTGACAAAAAAAAGATAAGATTTGATTATATTGGGACGAAAAATGATGAGTTTTGGTTATATTGGGATTAAAATTGATAAAAATTTTATATTTTGACCAAAAATGATGAGTTTTGGTTATATTGAAACAAAAAAATGATGAGTTTTTGTTATATTAGGATCAAAATTGATAAAAATTTTTATATTTGGACTAAAATTGATGAATTTTAGTTATATTGAGACAAAAAAAATGATTTTTTCCCATATATATATATTCAAATTTTTTCACATGAAGTTTAATATAAACAAGTAAATATGTAGTATTTTGGTTTTATATATATATTATAAATATTATTTTTTATTAAAACAAGAAACACGATACTTTTAAATGATAGTAAAAAAAGTAAATATATATTTTTATGATAAAATGAGTACTATTTATACAAAAAAAAAAAAAGGTAAAAGAGAGAACAATTTTATGTAATTTTTTGAATGAAAAATATATAGCAAATAATTGTTTGTTTTTTGGACAAAAATATAATCATAAATTAGCTAATGCAAAAAATAAGTGTGAAATTACAAGAAATGCATATTTTTTGGGACGTTTTTTCGACTAATAGTTTGTACTTGATTTTTTATTTTAAAAAAATAATATTACACTCCTTCTAATTCAAGTATCATTTTTATCATTTTGTCTATCGTACATTAATATCAAATATTTTTTATTTAAATTATAAATATAATATTACACGTACAATTATTTTATAAAATAAAGTTAAATGACAAAATTTCAAAAATTCTTACATATTTTAATTAATTAATAAAATATTATTATTTTTTAATCTATTAAAATATTTCATAAAACACTTTTGATTTGGGACGGAGAAAGTATATTATTTATAAATAATTAATATATATATATATATATTTTTATATATAATCTTCAATCAACTCGGTCTTGCACACAGGAGTGAGCCGAGCCCATTCTTTAAAGGGGTATGTAATTCAAATTAAATTCTTAGTAGATTGATTTTGGTTTCACCGTTATAATGTTTGTGTCGTTTGCTTATATGTTTTTTTTTTTTTTAGTAAACTTACATTATGTCTAAATTTATTTGCAGAAAGTTTACGATCGAGACATATTCAGCCCGGACGACAAAATGGGAGATGCAGAATTCGACATCAAACCATTTTTTGAAGCTGTAAAGATGCGGTTAGGTAATAATATTCCGAGTGGAACCGTGATCACAAAGGTAATTCCCAACAGGGAGAATTGCTTGGCTGAGGAAAGCGCCATCGTGTGGGAAAATCAACGAGTTGTCCAACACATGATTTTGAGGCTTCGAAATGTTGAGTCCGGTGAAATTGAACTCAACTTGCATTGGATCAACATTCCCGGCTCGAGAGGCTTGTAAGTAATTATAATGTTCGAAATTGCTTTGTATGTAATTTGATCCGTTGCTATAGATTATGTTGTCGAAGAATAATTCGAAGATGGATATTTATTACTTAAGAACTTGTAAAATGTTGTAAGAAGAGAGTTTGTCTGTTTTGTGTTTTATTTGTATTTTTATGTGATTTTCATTTTGATGTTTTGAAGTAAAATGATTGTTGAATGTGATAGATGATGCATGGTTACTACATTGCAAATAATCCAATTCTTTGGATTTTGATATTAAAAAAAAAAAAAAAAAAGAAAAAGAAATTATAAATTTGTCCTATGTGTAAGCCCAATTATCATTTTAAAATATTTTTACTTGCATTTGATTCTAAGACAATAACTCGACACTAGTTCTTATTCGTATCCTTTGACGTCAGAAGAAGTAATGTGCGAGGTACAATAGCACATGTGGCATAGCCGGTGCTGACGTGTATATGGCCGGAGATAAAGTGGACGATGAGGTGAAGTAACTCCGACAATAAGGTGTATAGTATAAATAATAATTTTTTTTTAAAAAAAAAATATTTATTATGTACTTTTCAATTTGGCCTAATTTGACCAAATTACAAATAAATTAATTGCAATATGGTCCAATGGAATTAAATTGAAAAATATATAAAATCAGTCCATTCTCAAGGAAACTAGGATCCATCCCCACCCCCTAACATCAAAATTTGATTCATCCCAAAAATGAAAGAGATCCATCCACAAACCCCCTTCCCAATTCAAAATTCGATTCATTCCAAATAAAATCGATCTATCCCCAAACACCCTTCTAAAGACCAAATCTTCATACATTAATCTTTTGGGTTACAAACTTACAAGAGGCTAAGTTAATTCCTGGCAGCGGTTGTAGTGCTGAATTTTATATTCAATACTGTGCTGAATAGTATATTAATTGTGTATTATTTGACAACACATAATATTACTATAGACAACACACTATATATGTTAATATAATACAAATATAACACATAAACAAAAATACGTGATATAGTCTCAACAACACATCGTGTGTTGTCTGACAGCACAAAATATTACTATAAAATACACATTGTATATGTTAATATAATACAAATACAACACACACAACAGTTCATTTTAGCACATAACATACTTTTATGCAACACACTTGTTATTATTAAAAAGTAGCGCATATTTTTATTATACACAACATATACTGTATGTAATATTAATATATGTTGTTTGTATATATAACACGTGGAGATATGATAAATCAACAAGATGCTGAAATTTTCAAATCAGCACCGTAATCATTCTCTCAATTCCTAATAGGAGAAAAATGTGCAGATCTTCAACCAAACCCTAATCGGAAAAACAATAAGACTTAAGGTCAAATCAAGTGACACCATCGACAATGTCAAGTCCAAGATTCATGATAAGGAATGTACTCTACTGGATCAACAGCATTTGATTTTCATTAGAAAACAACTTGAAGAAGGAAGAACTCTCGTTGATTATAACATTAACAAATAGTGGACTCTTCACTTGGTTATATATGTGCATTTCTTTGGTTTAGTAAATTTTGTTTGAATTTGGAGTTTTGATGGATATGGATTTAATAGATAACAATTATATTAAATTAAAATTTTATTAACAATAATATTATTGTAAATTATAAAAATATTATTTAAATTTTTTATATAAAAAAAACATTTTTTACAAAATAAAACCCTTGCGGCAGCCCTTCCTCCATCGTCGATCTCTTCTTCTTCTTTTTCGTAGTCTCCTTCTCCCTTCTTCTTCTTCTTATTCTCCTTTCTTCTTTTTCTTTTTCTTCTCGTCTCCTTCTCCCTTCTTCTACTTCTTATTCTTCTTTCTACCCTTTCTTCTTCATGTTCACTACCACAAAAGTGCTCATTTATCTCGAAAAATTGTCTCGGGAAAAAATTCTGAGACAATCTTCTGTCACGAAACCTTTGTTCGAGACAATTAGTGTCTCAACTATGATTTGAGATATTACCGCGATAAATTCTCTCGATCATAATCTCAAAATCTGTTTCGTGACAATTTATTGTTGCATATTTGTCTTGAAACACCACTGAAAGTAAAAATTATCTCAAAATAAATCACAGAAAATATATGGAAAGCATGAATTGAAAACAAGTCACGAAAAATATTCCGAGACCATAAGTTGTCTCAAAATAAATCTATAAAAATAGTTCAAAAGTAAAAATTATCTTAAAATAAGTAACAAAAAATATTTCGAGAGTTTGAATTATCTCAAAAGCGAGTCACGAAATATGTTTTAAGAGTAGAAATTATCTTAAAATGACTAACATAAAATATTTTGAAAGCTTGAATTGTCTCGAAATAAATCGTAAAAAAATAATTTCGAATATATGAATTATCTTTAAATAAGTCACTAAAATATTTATTTTTCAATCATTGTTAATGGAAGTATAATCAATAATTTTTATTAACATTATAATTATTTTTCAATTAAATCTATTTATCTATAATAAAAAATTAAATTAAAATATAATCAAAATAAAAACAAATATCTTATAATAAATATGAAAATATAAAAACTACAATAATTTGACTAGAAAACTTCCCACTAATCTAGCTAATTTTTTACTCCATAATCATAATTTCTCTCACCCACATTTACATTTACCTACCTATTTATTTTCCACGAGTATAAATAGAACTTCTCTTCTGTGGTAAATTTGCATTGTATTTGTTCTTTAATTTGTATATAATCATTTGTTTAGATGTATTGTTTTATTAATGTCTCCTTAAGTTGTTTAGATAGTTTTTTAATTAGTTAGATAGGTATGTCTATCTTATTTGGATGTAAATTTGTATAATTCTATCTGTAAATTTTTTATTTTCTACTTTTAAAAGAATAGTTGCTGAAAACATATGACAATAATGTGTGATTTTTTTGTGCAAATATTGTTTGAACGCAGCTCTATCACTATCAGATTAGTGGAAGGAAAGAAAGAATCACTATAAGAAAATATCATTTTTGTAACGAGATTTTTTCGTCTTTAAATTCACTTTTTCTGTTACTAATGATATTAGAGACGGAATTAATAATGAAATTATGTTAGCTACATGATCATTAGGGACGGAATTTCATTACAAATATACTTATTTTTTTTTTGTAGTGAATATGAAAGAACATCAGCACGGATCTCAGTAGCTCTATCAATTTCGGATCAGAAGATTAGTCATGACAAATTATATATTTCTTTTTATTGGAGGAGATGTAGCTTTTATGAGAATGAAGGATTGAAGAACTTCATTGTGATGGAGACATAATTTTCAGCCTTTTTTTTTTTTTTTCTATATACGTATTATAATGAAAATTGTAGTTTGATTCTAGTGTGCTTATTTGAAATACGATGTAATAATTTGTGATAGTAATTTTGTTTTAATTGATGATATGCACAAATTTTAGTAGAAATGTAATATAAAAAGGCCAACAAATATATTAATTAATTATATAGTATAAAATATAAACTTGAATTTTGTTAGAATTATTTTAAACGAAATAGTATAAAGTATTGGATATTTTAACAATTGTTTGATACAAATTATAGCCTAAAAAAATTATCACATTTGTTTGAGAGAAAAATATAATCTCGGATATTGTCAAGGGTATTCGAGACAATATATTGTCTTGGATATTGTCCCGGATTTTTGAGATATAAAACAAAATCTAGTTTCTTGGACATTGTCATAGTTGTTCGAGATAAATATAGTCAACTAAGTTTGCGAGTATTTTCGAGATAATATATTGTCACAATATTTTCTCGGTCAATCTAACAAGATAATATGTCTCGGCTTTCTATGACCTCGCAAATTGTCACAATCAAACGGCCACGGAAAATTTTTTGAGACAATTTCCGAGAGTATTCAACAAATTGTCTCGTATCTATATTGATTCCAAGACAATTTTTTCGAAACAATTCAATATATTTCTAGTAATGGTTCCTCTCTTTCTTCTTTCTTCCTTCTTAGTTTACAGTAATTGGACAGCAAGTTTTGGAGAAAAACTGCCGAAGGAATAAAGGTCTCTTATGCATGCAAAGTGAAAGAAAGGAGGAAGGTTAAAACAGTAATTTCAAAAAATGATAGACAAATTGGAGTTGTATTAAAATACCACCTCACTTCCGTACGTATCGTTTTGAGGGTCTCATTTAGTTTTTGCGCATTGATATTTGAATATTAATTATTATATAACGTAATACAAATTAAGAAAAATTGAAAAAAATATATTTTTATTAGTGTCTTATAATACTACTATAATGACATTTGTACAAAATATTATATAAATATAAAGATATTTTTAACGTTAAATACAATAATACAAAAAATAAATAAGAGCTTTAGAGTAGAACGAAAAGAAAAATAAATTATATGTGTCATTCAAGAGAATAGACATAAAAATTATTAAAATTTTAAAATTACTATTTTTATATTTATATTATACACATCATTGCCAGAAATAGTAACCTCAGTGTTCACCTCAAATCCGACCATGTAATAAGACAATCATGAAGTTATTGTTCTAAAATCAGACCTGAAAAAACAATTATCTAATAATAATATATCTAAACTTAATATTTATTCAAATTATTTATATTGTATTATTTATAATTTTCTTCAAATTATATTATTAATGTTTTTTATAAAATACTATATTACATTAAAATATTATAAAAATTTAAATTTAAGCATTATATAAAAATTAAATTTTAAAAATTTATATAGTGTTTCAATCATAAAAATATACAGGGGTGTGTTTCTTTTAATGAATTTGAGAAAAAAATTAGTTTCAATTTGGTATTAAAATATATATGTTTTGAAAAATATAAAGTTCAAATAATAAAAACTCAAAGTTTTATGACAAAAAGAAAAAAATAGCCTCTTATGTATCATATTTAAAAAAATAATTTGTTTTTACCATAAATTTAATATAACATAAAAATTGAAATAAAATAGTAATAATTAAATAAAGTTGAAATTTTGAATAAAAATTTTATTTTTTAAAAATAAAATAAATAAGTAAAAGGAAGCCACAAAAGCATAAATTCTAAAATTTTGTTATATACTCCCTCCTTTCCGGTCCAAAGGGGCTCTTTGCGATTTTGTAGTAATTAAAAAATAA